CGGCGAGAGCGGCACGACGAAGTATTTCCGCCACGGGAGTTGGCGCGCACACCGTGAGAGGGCCGTAGCACACTCCTGCAGTTGTAGGATCATTCCCGTCTTGCTGGAGGACCCCACGCGCGATGGTGTCGACGGCGGTCGAGGAGGTGCCGCCTACCAAGAGCAGAATCGGCGCAGAGGGGGAGGGGGAGAACAACTCCGTTTTGGCCATCGGCGTAAGCTGGGAAGCGGGTGGAGGGGGCGCCTGGACGACGACGTGGAGTCCTGCTCCTCGTAGGCCGTCAATTTAAGGCGGAGGTGAAAGAGAGATCCTCCTCATCAGCTCGAGACCATTTCTTCTGGGACAAAATCAGAGTCCTGGCGTGGTGTTTTTGCATTTTGACCGACGGCGCGTAAAACTCGTAGACATCGTTCTGCTCGGTGCTGAGAGACGGTCAATTTCTGTGCATCTGCGGCCCTCGTCCTCGTAAATGCTGTCCAAAGAGGTTCCGGGAGATGAAATGCAGTCGAGGATCTGTGCGGGCTTGTGCTCTGTCGGAAGACATATATCATGGGTGGGGCGTTGCGGAGAGGAGGGTCTCAAGTGTTCGCCCCAAACGCTCGATCTCCTCGTGTGTCTGACGATGACCGAGTCGATGTAGTCGAAGGACGAGTCGAGACAAGCTCAAGCTGTGACCGTGACACTGTGACACCTCACTTTCGCCTCACAAAATGGCAGGAATCAACGCAGGAGACAATGTAAGCCTTTTACCTTGCTTTCATGCCTGTCTATTTACTTATTGTATGCTCTAGAAACTCATTTTCGAGTCCTCAGAGGCTGTGTCCGTCGTATCCACGTTCGGGGACCTGGGATTGAAGAAGGACCTTGCTCACCGCATCTTTGCGTACAGTGCGCTTTACTTGTCTACTGTGGTCTACAGGCACTCACCAGTATACTCTAGATTTTGGAAAACCCTCTGCCTTTCTGAAGCACGCTATCTTACCTATAACACTGGGCAGGGATGTCATTGCTCAGGCTCAGTCTGGTACCGATAAAACTACGACATTCTCCATCTCAATCCTCCAATCCATCGACGCCACCGTCCGCGAGACCCAGGCCCTTGTTCTCTCGCCTACCCGCGAGCTCGCGACCCAAATTCAGTCCGTCGTGCTCGCCTTGGGTGACTACATGAACGTCCAATGTCACGCGTGCATCGGCGGGACGTCCATCAGCGAGGACATCCGCAAGCTCGAGTACGGTCAGCACGTCGTGTCCGGCACTCCCGGCCGTGTATTCGACATGATACGGAGACGGAGTCTGCGTACGCGGAATATCAAGATGCTCGTGCTTAACGAAGCCGACGAGTTGTTTAACGAGGGTTTCAAGGACCAAATATACGACGTCTATCGCTATCTGCCTCCCGCTACCCAGACTGTTCTCCTCAGCACGACCCTTCCGCACCATGTGCTCGAGATGGCGACTAAATTTATGACCGATCCCATTCGCATTCTCGTCAAACGTGATGAACCGACGTTGGAGGGAATCAAACAGTTCTTCGTGGCGGTTGAAAAAGAGGACTGGAAGTTTGATACACTTTGCGATCTCTACGACACCCTCACGATTACACAAGCTGTTATTTTCTGCAACAATCGGCGCAAGGTTGTGCATTTGTCCTTGCGGATGTTGCGGCTACTGACTCCCGACATCCAAAGGTCGACTGGCTGGCAGAGAAAATGCGCGCATCCAACTTCACCATCTCGTTTATGCATGATCAAATGGCTCAAAAGCAGCGCGATGCAATTATGGCAGAGTTCCGTGGTGGAACTTCGTAAGCCTCTACTCCTTCACCATTTTTGACCTACACTAACTTTCTTTCAGACGGGTTCTGATTACGACTGACATGTGGGCGCGGGGTATCGATGTTGAACAGGTTTCGTTGGTCATTAATTACGACCTGCCAGAGTATGTTGACCGTCTTTACTCCCGACGTTTGCTAACAGGTTCTAGAAATCCTGCAAACTACAACCACCGTATCGGTCGGTCTTGTCGGTTCGGACGCAAGGGTGTCGCGATTAATGTAAGTTTTTACAATATGCACTTAGCATCAACTCAATTACCTCTAGTTCGTTACGGTTGACAATGTTCGCATCCTGCGCGCCATCGGTAAGAATTTTCAGCCTTGAGCTCACACAGCCAGGACTAAGGGTTCCCGAGAACACCATTATCGCATCATAATTGTGCGTCTGAATCTACATTACCGTACGTTCGCTGATCTCATCACCGCCCAGGACCCACTGCCTAACAATGCAGGGGAAATCCTCTAATAACTGTTTACTCAAACACGAGCGCAACAAGAGTCTGAATGTATGTGTGGTTTGTATCTGCTGTTTAAGAATTGTAATTGAATCAGTCTACGTCCTTCTAAGCCAATTACCCTTACTTGAAACGAATTCACAAAGTTCCTACTGCAAAAAAGAGCTGAACTCGCAGGATCATCAAAGAAAATGGCTCATAAAAACGGGATAAGTTGACCAAAGAGAGACGAGACGAATGACTACATGTATTTCGTTACTAGTTTACAATTGTACACAGGTTTGTAAATAATTTGTTTCAATTAAGCTGCAGCTCAGCTGCCGCTGGATTTTAATGAGTTGCCTCTGAATTTTATGCAAGCTGCAGCTGAGCTGCCTCCGAGCTGCAGCTCAGCTGCAGTTAGGCTTCAGCGCTCCTGAAACCTTAGGTTTCGGGAACAGGTTCCTGCGCGCCGAAACCGTTGCCGATACTTATTGTTTCGGGGACACCGAATCCGTTCCCGAAAACAAAAGTATCGGGAACGGTTTCTGGGGGGCCGAAACCTTTTGTTTCCGCCCTCCAGAAACCGTTCCCGAAACGGAAGGTTTCGGGTGGTCGGAAACCGTTCCCGAAACCTTCCGTTTCGGGAACGGTTTCTGCGCTGCCGAAACCAAAGGTTTCGGCAACGGTTTCAGCAGCACCGGCTCCGTTCCTGAAACTTTAGGTTTCGGGAACGTTATCAGGGGCCCCGAAAATTCGGATTTTCCGGAGTGATTTACCGCATCCCGATATCGCGTGCTCCCTTCTTTGTTACCATTCCGTATTCAGCCCCGAGAAGTGCGGATTGAAAGTGTCGTGTGCAAAGGTCCTCTGTAGTCGCTACTTGGGTGAGTCCATTATCATGTCTCGCTGTGTGCTTTGCCATTGCGGCGTTTCCAAATTAGGCCATCAATGATTCAATCTAGCGAAGCATCTGATTTCCCACTTTAGAGTCCGCGGATTGTCCGGGGGCACAAATTGGGCACATATTTACATCTTCAATTTATGGGTGTAGTGGTTTATCATTCGTGCTTTGGTAAGGATTTAGCGAATAAATAAGGTCGCTCACAGTAGTCTTTTGCCAGCCTTTTTGTGCATGGTTATCAGAGTTCAACCCGATGTTGCAAAATAGAAAGAGAAAAAAAACTTCCTCGCTCGGTGACCTTACAACGTACTAACCGTGAGTTTTTTTGGAAGTATATCCATAACACCTTCCATGTGGGCAATTTTTGGTCTCACCTTGACACACTTGAGATACACGGCCAGTGTGATACCTGTGGCATACCTGAAAGCCTTGAGCACATCGCATTGGAATGCAATGCCGCAGGCCAGTCATTAGGGTCGTTCACAGTAGCCTTTTTTCCTTCCTTTTTTACTCCCTTTTTTGTATTCCCAACATTTTTCTTCGGATTTTTTCCCCCTTTTCAGTTTTAACATGCAAAAAGGGTGTAAATTCAAAAAATCTAGGTCCCACGTGCGATATTGGATGATATCAGAAAAAAAAGGAAGCCAAAAAGGGCCGAAAAAAGGCTACTGTGAACGTTCCGGTTTTCAGCTCCCTTTTTCGTCCCTTTTTTGCTCCTTTTTCTCTCCCTTTTTTTCATTCCAGACATAACCCTGATCTCTCTTGACAAAAACACATATCTTTCATGCCATCTGTCGCTCCATGTATGGCAGTCAATCTGCACATTTATTATTTACGAGAATATATTGTGTTTACGTGAATTTTTCAGGCCATTTGGGTCAACAGAAATAAAATAATAAATGTGCAGATTGACTATGAGCGGAACTGCTACAGGAAAGGGACCAGCTGGTTGAAGGAGAGGCAAGCAAAAAGGGGAGCAAAAAAGGGTAACCATGAATGACCCTATTGATATGGTCACTCACTGGGCGAAAAAATATGCCCAATGGCCTAAATTGAACTGGGGCTTGGTCCTGGGCTGTAACCTGTTGCAATTCAGAACAGTCAATGGTGCCCTGATATCAGAGAAGGGGAGACTGTTTGCAATCATTGTATCGGTCACATGGAATTTAATATGGAATCTCCATGTAAGCAGAGTAATCACACATCCATAATCACAGACACAGAAATCCACAATCGATTGTTGAAGGCAATCAATGGGGCCTTGCAGCGTGACCATCTATTGCGCGATAAGATTAAATTTGGAACACTTGCACTCAAAAAACAATGTGTACTGAACATGTGGAGTAGCCTACTTCTAGATGAAGCCTCACTGCCAGACGACTGGATAAATGAGGGGGTATACAGCCCATAGTTGATAAAATTGGGATAGGTTGAATTTGGGCTGGAGCCCCACACTGGCGAACAATGTGTGTAATGGCATTTCCTCCTGGACAACTTCACTAGCAATGACTTAACAAACCAGCAGCACAAGCGGATGAGCTTGGAATGTTTCTGCAGACTAAGTTTCATTATCCCAAACACCCCCAAAAAAAAACTTCGGGCAGAGAAGAAACAAATTGGATGAAATCTCATAATACCCCTGTACTGTGTCCATACCTATAGGTCCAGAAGAACAATCCCCCAAGGATTAGGGCCACTGGGCCAGGGTTGAGCTGAATGTCTGTATTTCGTGGAGAACAATCTCGGATCGTCCACACATATCCTAACACCTATGGAAAAGTCACCCACTTCATATATTACTATTCAAAAAGGTAGCCTTTTTAGGGGCACATGGTGTAGTGGTTATCACTCATGCTTTGCATTTTTCGCAACTGTATGCGGTCCTGGGTTCAATCCCCAGTGTGTCCACTTTTTTCTCTTTTGGTATAGTTTTGTTTTCAAGTTGACTTCACTCGCGTAACATCGTAATGTGCTTTGTATGTAGCCCAGCTCTTTTTTTTGTTGTTGTTAAGGTAGGTGCCATCCACATCCATCGAGTCACGTAAACGTGACTGATGCGTGACAATAACGTGGGAAAGCGCAAATTTTCGATTTTAAAAACAAAAAAGTCCAATTTTTGTGTGTTCAGCTCTAGAGAACACTTTCCCTCCTGCTACAGGCCCCCTTACCTATTTACCTCCCTATCCCCGCCATGGTGACAAAACACATGTCAAAATGGGGGCTATTATATAGTCTATGATTTTGTTTCATTTTGTCACAATTACAACCATAATTCTCACCCAGGAACACAAAATCGTCCTTTCATTGGGTAAAGCCTGACTCCGATTTCGTTTCTGGACACAGTCTTATCGTGACAATGCCAATCGTCGACAATCAGTGTTGCCGACACAAAGACCATCCAGCCCGAGACATGAATACCATGCTGGAAACATAAGTTGGACATTACATGCAGACACTCAACAGGACATGGAGGATGACTACAAACCTCGGAAATGTGCCTGGTACAAGTGTAAGCTCACGAATACGGTGTGGGACATGCGCGCGGACTTTTGTGCGCACATCGTTGATCACATTGGCTATCTTCGAAACGACTCGCTGCAATACCAATGTGGTCTTCGACCCAAAGCTCCTTGGTGCAGGTGGCAGGAGTGCAGCAAAGAGGACAACAAGGACAACAAGGACAATGTCTGCGGCAAGACCGACTCTCACAACCTCAAAGCACATTTCGCTCGTGTTCACAGTATAAATGTCCAAGAGAAGGTCGACATCAAGTATTGCACCATCTGCACTGAGACGTGCGTACCCCACCTCACTTGCCCTAGTTTATTGATTGACAATTCCAACAGCTTTATTGATCATGATGGCGACGGCTCTCTCTGGCGGGAACACTGTGCCGAGCACTATGCTACCCTTTTCCTCCCATTTGAGACCAGGGTCATTTCGACAAGCACGGCATGCTCTTCACTCCCAAAGTTGATCACGCTGTGGACTTTGAGCACGGCACAGGTTTCGGCGGGGAGAGACCTGAGTTTCACGGACATTTTGAGAACCAGGTCCCTCTCTCACCCGCTTTTGTGCTCTTTGTGTGTACAACGAGAATCTCGACGTCGATGTGGCAATGCGACAGTAAGTTCTGGACAACTGCTGTTTTCATGTGTTCTCAATATGCATAGGTTTCATCGCTACAAGGACCTGCAGCTCCATCTCGACATCCACCGGCGCGAGATCGAGGATTCTGATGAGATGTGGAAGTGTCCCGTCCCCTCGTGCAGAACCCACCAGTTCACATCACACAATTTTCTCTGCCACATCATTATCTACCATTGACTGTCCATCTGCGGCTCCACCAGCCACACCCTTTTCCGCCGCTTGCGTCTTCCCAGGGAGGTTGAAGATGATATTCCCCCACCCAAGCGTGTCGACCTCGCGCACCTTTATGACGACGTGATGGTTGAGGACAGACCTGCTGCTTCCGCTGGCTCTACAGCGGGTGCATCTGGCTCTGGAGTCATGATGCAGGACGGTGTGACCCCATCTGCTGCAGGCTCGTCGGGTTTGGTCAACACAGACAGCATTGGCCACAGCGTAGGGCATCAACACGGCAGGTCCTTCCAGCTCCGGCGCTGATGTGGATGTCGCGATGACGGACTCACCTGTGCCAGGTCCCTCTGCCTCCGAGACCATGCCCAAGCCAAAGAGGAAGCATATTGCGACGGGAGTGCGTCAGACTTTGCTATCGCCCGTGCTACTGGCTGACTTCCCTTTTCAGGTTGAAAGGGTGATGCTCAACCACTATTGCGAGCTCCACCACAAGCAGTTCTGTGATATAAGGGAGCACATTCCTCAGTCGTGCACCGCAACGCACTTTAAGATTTGTGATGCGGAGCTCACTCGGCGGCAGCGCGGTCAATTTGGCCCACGGGTGGATTTTGCGGAGTGGTGTAAAACTGCGCCTGCGTTTGTTGTGAGTGTACTGTTCTTGAAGTAAGCTACCTTGATTGACGTGTGCGCAGCCTGCTTTGCAGTCTCCAGATTCTCCCGGAGAATTGCCTGCTGAGGCTGGGTCAAGTAAAAAGGCTCGGATAAACACTGTTCGTGTCATCTTTCCAGTCGCTCGATCCTCTTTTCATCTTACTTCTGTGGTAGACTTTCAACTTCAAATGCGCGGGCTGCACTAAAGAATACACCGATATCGGAAAACACCTGAAGTCCCTCCGCAAGGAAGGCTCCAGGTGTAAAGTCAAGCAGCGCGGCAACAATGGAGAGTTTAGGCCGGTGATAAACTTTGCGACGTGGCACGGTAACCCTGACTATAAACCTCCGCCCTCCCTTTGACCCTCCCTTCTACAACTCCGTTTTCGGCATGTGCTCCCTCCCCTCCTCCCCCCCCACCTCGTCTTTTTCGCTCTTTGTATTCTCTCTACCTGCAGCATGCGCCACCACCAATTATCTTGTCCACTCTCTTTCTACCACTGTCTCCATCCACATTCTTTTACTGCGACGCCTTGTATTGTCTCCTCTTGTAGCGATAACTTCATGCCTGATTAAATGTACTTACGATGAAATAATATGATGATGTACCACCGACTATGAAGGCTAGTAATAATACCAGTAAATAAGGCCAATAAAAGAAGCGGTGCCATGCATGTGACTTCTTCACCTTTCTCTCCTCCAATTCCTGGATGTGCCCTCAGGGGCTGTCCTGCTGCTAGACTGTGCATTTACATGTGGCCCGTGTTATATGTACAGCCTGTGTCTTCACTTGGGGCTGCCGAGTGGGGACCAGCAGCGAGTATGGGAGCCAATGTAGGCTGAGCATCGTCCATCCCGGGGGTTGAATGAGCGGACAGGTGTACGCACTTCCCCAAGACGACATGCCTGGCAAAAAACATGTAAACAGCAAAAACGCACACACACCCGGCAAAAAACATGTAAACGGCAAAAACACTCGAGTTGTGAGAGTGACACAGCCACTGCCCAGATTCTGGGCAGTGGCTCTGTTGCAAGTCCAAATATGGGCAATCAGTCAAAAATGCCGATCGGGATTTTGGCCCTGACCTTGTCAGGGCGAAAATGGATGTGATTTCCAATTGTATGCGGTCCTGGGTTCAATCCCCAGTGTGTCCACTTTTTTCTGTTTTGGCGTAGCTTTGTTTTCAGGTTGCCTTCATTCGCGTAACGTCGTAATCTGCTTTGTATGCGACCCAGCTCTTTTGTTTTGTTGTTACGGTATCTCATTTTTTGAATCTAACCATTATGCTTTCGCTGAACTCAAGTTTAGTCCCCGCTGCCGCCAACCTTTTAATATTTCGTCTGTGTACCTCTCGTTTTTGTTTTTGCTGCACACAGAACAGTCTATTGGAGTGCATTGCATACATTGTGAGCATTTCTACTAAATATTAATCGATAGCACAGTTGGTATAACAGGAATACTACGCTGGGCCGAATAAGTTAAAAGAGTCTCTCGTTAACCTGGACGAGGAGTAGACGGGGCATTGTCTCCTTCAAAAACCAGAGACGTATGATCCGCTACGCTGCTTGAACTCGTAATAGGAGGCTGAACGGGAATCTCACCAGGACTATCGTCCACTGGCTTCATCGCATCCACTTCGTGTCCACTCTCAAAGGTTCGCTCTATCTCAGGCACGTCGCCAAGCCATTCATGTAGGACCAGCTCCCCGGCGCTGATACGCCCATCCGGATCCAAATCCAGCATGGGGAGCAGAAAATTCGAGATGGCGTCCGCATCCGACTGCGGGAACAGGTATTTGTCGTGGAGAACCGACGACAGCGGCCATGGACGCAAGTTCTGGATATGCAGGAGTTTGCCTAGGATGAATGTGAATACGATGACTCCGAAGGCAAAGCGATGACTTACCTCTCGAATCGAAAAACTCGCTACTCCATCGCCCTGATTTCCGAACAGGGTCTGGTAGGTCACCGAGCAGCTCGATGATCTGGGCCATGTGGTCGTCGTCCTTCGTATACTTTGGTTTGCCGCCGGCACCTCTCGGCGCAGGAGCTGGATCGAAGAGATAATCCCCGCCGGTGAGCAGCTCAAACAACTGTAGCCGGGATACTGAGTGGCATGCATCGGGTAAAAAGATAGACTGGACACACCACACAGGCGATACTCCATATATCTGCACTCGTCCCCCACGCCGTGGAGCCAATGATGACTTCGGGACACCGGTATTGTCGCGTTTGAATGTCGTTTGTGAAATGGTGATTTGTCCATGTGGCTGAATGGGCAGGGGGGGAAACGCGACAAGGGAAACGATGGGTTAGGGATGCAGAAAATAGTTCAAGCGCGATATGCAAGCTAACCATTCCCCAAATCTGCGATCTTCACCGTGATCATCTCATAGTCGAGCTCCGCATCCACCTCTTCTACCCATCCCTCTTCGCCTTCTACCTTCTCGTTCTCGTCGCGACCACCCACATCGAGAGTGAGAGGTTGGTGCGAAGGGCTGGGAACGGGCATTGGAGTCGTAGACGCTGGTGCAGATTTGGACAAGGATAGCGAGGACATGCCCAGATCGTCGTCTCCGGCACTCTTCTCTTTCCCCTTCCCCTTCGCGTCGTCCGGAGAGATTTTCATCATCCCAAGCCCCCATTTATCTCCCGGCAGCTTCGAGCGCCCAGCGCTGCCGCTGGTCAACGACGAGAGACTGACGAAACTCCCGCTCGGACTTGTGCTGGGAAGTGGCTGACTTCCCGTTATATTCACGTTAATGTGGTGATGTCGTGGCCCTGGGGTCAGGTTTCCCCCGCGGCCAGTGGATGCAGGAACACCGGTGAGTTTCTGGATCGTAGGCTGATGGTGCGGCGCCTGATGTAGAGCGGGGGGAGTGGAGAGCGAGGCGGACGACGAGGAGGACTGCAGAGCAAACTCGGCCTGAATCACC